CGGAGGGTGAAGATATGATCGATGCAACCTCTTGAAGAACGGAACCCAGCTTGGTTTTCACGGATCTGCTTTCCCCTGTGTTCAGTCAACCTTCGAAGGATAAGTTCAGAGAGCGGTATATATATATATATATATATATATATATATATATATATCGTTAACACTGATCATCAGCAGATGATGTTGTCTAATGGAAACGATTGGCTGCCCTGTTGGTTTGTTTACATGATGGACACCGTCTCAATATTCGTCAACCTCTGTCTGGATCGGTTTGTTTCCCTCTCTGGTAGCTGGAACTTTAGGTAACTAAGCAATCCGATATCACAGCAACATATGAAATACTTCATACACCCCGTTTTCCGTAATTTATTCAAAAGACAGGTGCCTAAACAGACCGAGAATTTAATATTACCTAGCAAATTTTCACTTCTGTTTCGTCTCACAGTTCCAAAACGTTTGGATTAACTTTCAGTTGCATCTTAACCGGGACCACTCAGCGCTTGAGGACCATTCTTCTCGCATTATCGATCTACTCATTGATCGACTGACTAGTCCATATGGTTTTTAGGTTGAATGATCACTGTTCGTCATCCGACAAGACTTTGTTATCGAATGAGTAACAGGGTGAGTGAAATTTAGTTACATATCAGTGGTTCCCTAACCCTAAATTCAGGCTGGCTGATCGGTCGGAACCAAAAACAAAAATATCTCAAAACTATATGAGCACCCTCAGGTAGATTCATTAATGTAGATTTCGCCCTGTGCATGAAGCCAGTGTACAACGAAAAGCCGAGAAGCACTGCACAGATGTTTCATCCCTACTGTTCGAATCACAAGCTGTGCATATCCCACAAAACTCCAGGGAGTTTCGAACACTCAGGTTAGTAGTTTGGACACAACGTAAACAACGTACAACGTAAACAGTAAACACCTACACACTGATGTAGGTAGTAGTGTAAAAAGCTTCTTGTGGTTATTTGATAGGTGACGTAAAATATCCGTGTTACTGGTTTAACGGTGATACTATCGATGGTAGGGCATGCGAGTAGTATGTTGTCCCGTAAATCCGCTTTGCGTCTCCTGAAAAGTGAGATCTATCACGAAATTTGTGCAGTAGCTTTGTAGCATTTGCTTGGATTTGGGCAGCAGTCAATGAATATCCAAGAAATTTCAGGAAGACGCGTTCAAAGAGAAGATGGATTT